AACTTTAAGAAATTAATATAGCCACTACAGTGACCATCAAAACAATGAAAAAAATTATTGCTGTAAATAGTTCATTTTGCGACACCACGAAACAAACGATAGCGTAAAATGAAACGATAGACGTTTTTATATCGTCATCCGATATATATCGTTATATCGAACAGCCCTAATTCTAAATATCAAATGAAAGTACTGAAATAAACTTCAGGCCTAATAAGATTTTTGCCTAAATCAGTATACATGTTTTACTCTTGAGCTTCAGTGATCTTTCACAGTTGTTGTAAATGGCGCATCATAATATTGATGCTGATATGGAAAAAGTCACAGGGGTGGGCATTTAGACAAGATCTAACTGTGAGCTGTGAGCTTAATCAAGAGGAGTGTATGTTTGAAAGGATCTTTCCCAGACTTACTGGTGACTCATGAACTTGTAATCATTGGGAAATTCTATAATATTTTTGTTCTGTGGGGAAGTTTGATTTTTTTTCAATAACTTTCTCCTCTTTGTCAGAACTTACAGGGGAGAAGACTTCAAAACTTGACTTTCTACAATGAAACTCTAGAGAGGCTATTTCAGACAATAACACCAATTGCAGATATTGGAGAACCTCGTCCTGATCACTGCAGGAGTTGCGCCGTGGTGGGGAATTCTGGAAATTTGAGAAGATCGCATTATGGACCTCTGATTGATTCCCATGATATCGTAATAAGGTAATAATCATTTAACACAAACATAAAATCTAATGTAAACAATGTTCTTGCGAGACAAAAAATATAATATAATATAGTATAATATAATATAAGTCTATGTATATTTATGTATCTAAAGTATGTGCTAAATATGTATCCTTCTGTATAATTTAGAATGAATCGGGGGCGTACCAAAGGCTATGAAACAGATGTTGGAACCAAAACAACTCATCATGTCATGTATCCAGAGAGTTCTATTAGACTGGACAACACCACTCATCTCTTGTTTTTTCCTTTCAAAACAAGTGACTTTTTGTGGCTCATGAAGGACTTAAATCAAGGGTAGGCTAAAAG